GGGTAAGGCAGCGCAGGATGCCCTTTATTTGACTAAACTAGAGGTGGAAGATGTTTGAATGAAGGTGCACACAGCTGTGTGTTTGTTTCTGTCACACACAAATTTACTCATCTTTTATTGTGAGTTATGTGCTACGTAAATTTTGGGCATTTTAGGCTCCTTTTTACATTATTTTACTAGAAACATTGACAATAGGAAATTTTACAGACAGGAGCAGCAAAATGATACAAATGAGACATGGACTGAAGAGTTGCAGCTAGAACTGTGCAATATACCATGGTTCCCAAACTCCGGTACACACTTGGTGCATATCGTGCTGGACAATAGCTTGGGGACCATGCACAGAACAGGGTCTCAGGGGTGTTGCAAGAAAAAAAAAAGAGAATATTTTTGTCACAAAAATACATCATCGAGACACAATTGCAGTTTTTCTCAAGTATAAGTCAGCCTTTAATCCAGACTTCTCTATCATCATTACAATAAAGTCTGCTACTGAAGGCCTTCCTGTAAATTATCTCTTAAAATGACTTCCAACACCAGCAGACCTGTCTTTATTAGTTCTTTTTCATTTTTTATATTTATTTTGTTTGTTAAAAAGTATGAACAACTTCATTTCCTTTTAGAATAATTTTGTCAATTTTAAGATCATTTACAATAAGCAGAAACAATGTCTAAATCGTATCACTTGTGTTGCTTCTCAGAGTCTTATCTTTACTTTCTAAAGCACAGTTTTTGATTTCTTACTAGAATCAGTTATTGCAATGGGATTTCAAAATAAATCACACATGAAATCTTTTAACTGGCATCAATCACTATTAAACAGCCAACCTTGTTTCATGTTATCTGAAAACCAAACAATGGAGCTGTGGAGCTGGCCAGGTATTAAAAAACTCCAACTTGATGAAGTGCTGCCCTCTGCTGTAAATCTGCATCCATGCAAAACTAACGGCAAAATACAGAACATCTGAACACATCATCAGTTCTGTCAGCTCATGCAGAAAGCTTGTGTTGTCTTTTTTCCATTTCAATGAAATATGTCGTAAATATTTCTAAAAGTATGACTCGGGTAAAGCAGTGCGTCCATTTTAAATTTAGAAATAACAGGCAGATAAAATAAAATTAGTCTTTTCTTCACTGCACCCTTTTCATTCACAGCATGATTTATTTGTTAGCTTTATTGTAATAGATTGTTTTGTTTTTATGAACAAAATAAACTGAATAAACTAAACTGAATTTTTAAACTTTGCGTGTGTGATGATTTCACTTTTTTGAGTTTTTTGAATTTATAAAAACAGACCTTGATTGGACCAATGGTTCTACAAATCTGGCACTACACCCCCAAATACTTTCATAGCCATTTCTGGTTTCCAAGATATTCCAGCATTTGAGTCTCTTGGTGCTTTATGCCAGCTTCTCTATTAACATTTTATGATTAAACATGTTTAGAAATTACTATTATTGGTATTTTGGCAAAGTGTCCTCAATGTGCAATGTTGATGAATGTCAGAATGACTGCAGAGCACAGCTTTAAGATAGATATGGACATTGTTTTAGAGTATTAGCGTGTTTTAACAAACCAAATGTAGGAATGAATACACAAAATTTATACCTTGATGCACAAAATACTGACACAGAGTGAGCTCATCACTAAAAAGGCCAGGAAGTGCAGATTACAATAAGACAAGATGACAAACTGTTATTTTCTTTATACATTGTAAAAACAATAGGTTTTCCATGTGTACGCACAAGATAGAAAAAACATGTTCCAAACATAATTCTGCTTTAAAATAATTTTGTCTTTCATTTAAGAAAAAAATACAATAAAAGCAGGGTTTATTTCTGAGCTCCTAACGAAGATAAAGAATTAATACAGCTGATAAAAAGTTTATATAAAAGAAGACATATCCTGATGTCACCTTGGCTGACTGAACATATGATGACTCTGCTCTCATCTTGAATACAGATTCACACACGTCCATCTCAAACACACATTTAGACACTCCTTCATCTTGTTAGCTCCTCGGTTTAAAGATGCTTCTCTGGTTTAGGTTAGTTGTTGTTAGAAGATTAGTTCATTAGTAGGTTAGTTTGTTAGTGTGCATGTTAGTAACAATTCACAGTGTTTTCAGAGACACAATCTTTTTATTTTTTTGTGTGGGACCACCAGAGCTAATAAACTCATATTTGGGTAATTAAAAGTTATAGCGGGGAGCTCGATGTGATGAGATAATGTAAACACTGAGACTACAAGGCATGCTTAAGATCTACTTAAATAAAACAAATGCAAGGTGTTAGTAAGAGCAACAGGAGGACCATAGCCTAGTTGTTAAAGTGGAAACTGTTAAAGGTTAGTATTAAAGCTCAGGTTTGCGTAGCTTCTGTCATAGTGGCAGTGACAGAAAACCAGGCACTCACCGACTGAGGCTGACCACACAAAGCACACATAAGATTTTAAAATGAATATTTAGCCTGGAAAAAAAAAAGAACTTGAAATTAGATCAGAATCTTGTTTTTTTTATGATTCTGCTCAAGTGTGTGGTCAACCAAAACTGACATCAGCAGCTGTTTCTGCTCCTCTTTTTATCCTCGGTTTATTAAAGTTTCCCTCCCCCCAGGTCCTGAAACCCTTCTTTCACATGATCTCTTTAAGTTTTTTTTTTTTTTTTTTTTGGGTGGAGAATTTCTTGATGGGTTCTTCTGAATGGGACACTCCTGAATGAAGGATTGCAGGATCATGTGAGAGTAGTGCGTGCCTCAGACTGGCAGTATAAAGCAGATGGTTAGTAGGTTGGTTAGAAAAGTCATCAGCATTCTCAGCACAGGTTAGTAATCCTCCAACTGTTAGCAGATATTAGTACTGTTAGATATTAGTCAGGTTTCTGTTAGTGCACACCAGACCTGGATAAAACGGCTATTTACACATAATTATTAGCATTTGCGGTAATTTGCTTAAGTGTTAAATGATGGAGCTGCTGGCAGCGGAACAGTTCAGTGAAAGCCAGCAGGCATCATTCAGTAAACTGCACCCCACTAATTCCAAATGATATCCTTGAGATTTAAAGTGCAACTACGGCTTTAATGAGGCTGTAACAAATGCTAAGAATCATTAGTAAATAATGTTTGATCCCTTATCCGGTGCATTCAGTCACTAAAAGACTTGTAGCTTCAGCTTCAGGCCCATTACCAATCCATCTTATTAGGCCCATGTGACACACATGCACACACACACACTTGCAAAGAAACACATCCACAAATAGAGCACATGCAAAGAAAGAAAAAAACACATGCACTCGCACAGACACCCGCCCACAGTCCCACATAGGCGCTGCAGAGTGTGTTGTGAAAGGCATAGTAAAAATAGTTGCTATCACACTTTAAACTTTAGAGGTTTCACAACAAACACACAAAAAAAACGTGTGATTTACACATTATTAGAAGGTGAGAAAACCAGTCATTCTCACACACTAACACATAATATTTTCATCCTTGTGGGCCTAAAATATGTGAGCTAAGCAGGTCTCATTGCATGCCAGCTTTCATAAAAAAGGCTACCAAGAAAATACTTCAAAACACCTTTTCTTATGAAGCATACAGAAAGAGGTGGATAAATTGTAAAGAAAAAGTTACTTGAATAATAGATAAAAAAACAAGAGCTGAATGGGTAAATGAAAACTATGGAACACGGCTGTAAATGATACACGATCCATGAAATACTATCATATTAAAGAAGATTAAACAGACAATGATGACAAAGCAGTGGCTCCATTATCTTTTTTTTTCCCACTGATGCACAGAAGCTGCAGAAGCCGACTCTCGGCAAGGAAAGATTGTAACACAGATATTTTCCCTCTGAAGGTGCGGAGCAGCAGAAATGGCCCCACGCTCGAGTCGCTGCAAGAGAAACAGTTCAGGTAAAAATAGGAGAAAGTTTGAATTGCAGACATTGTGTCCTCTTTGCATAACAACCTCCAAAGAGCATGCAAGTGTTTATTTGGAGACGCAAAACTACAAAATGTTGCATCAGTTTAAAATAAAGTTGTACTTTAATGTTTGTTATCTCCCACATATAAAAAAAGATACCAAAATCCTGCAAAATTCCACTTTGCAGAATGATCTTTGGACAGACAACTTTTTTGTTAAGTGTTGTAAGCTTTGGAATTTACTACCATCTGATTTTAGGACCTTAACACACTGAAATGTTCACTTCAGGACTTAGAAATTGGCAAAAAATGAACCAGAATTATGCTTATTTTTAAATATTGTGATTGTTTTGATTCAGTAGTTTTAAATACATTGTTTTATATGTATTTGAGATCATTTTTAATCACGTGAAGAAGTAGGAAAGTAAAAGTGTTAGTACTGTAAAGCTGAGGGCTCCAGTCTTTAAGGCAGCACAGCAGAGGGAGACAGAGAGATGCCAGCAGGGGAACAATGAGGTCCTGTCAGGCCCAGTCTGCTTTTCAAACCAGTGTAACTGGAGAAGAGCACAGAACACAAAGCAGCAGAAAAGTGGGACACAACCCAGCTGTCCTACTAAGACGTCCCAAAGGGATCGGGCTACCTCTTCTTGCATTTTATTGTGTTCTTTAGAGCTGTTTTTATAAGGCAGGACTGCTGAAGCAAGCAGTTTAACAAAGGCTTTATAAAAGTATAACTGATCAAATACATGCTGGTAATTTTGACAAAGATAACACATAACCTGTCCTGCTCTTGGAATCCTCCAGCATCCTGATTGGTGCCCTGAGATGAATCCTGTTCGTGCACAAGATGTCCTAAAAAAAACAAAATAAAAAATAAATCATAACCAAATGCTAAATATGTTCATCATAAATTTATTTAAAAGACATATTTACAACTTTGTTTTTATAAAGTCATATAATGAATTGATTTACCAAATGGCAAACAGCTGTTTTTATAGCTGTTTACAAATGAATGTGAAATAATAAAGATTGGCCTACATTTACAGATGAAAAAAACATGTAGGCTGGTTTCTGTTGTATGTTTTTTATGCATCACAGCAACATAAGATGGTGTTTCCTAAATAAAAGAAACCTTAACACAGTTTTTGGATTTATAAAACACCTTCCACCAAACAAGTCACAATAAGCAATTTAGCAGCTTTACTAATTTAACTAAACGTTTAAAAAGACAGAAGAAAAGGAAAATCTGGAATTATTTTTTCCCCATACCTCAGATCCTCATGTTTCAGTTGTCCTGCATCATCTCATATGGTTTGAATTGATCCTCACTTCTTTTCCATCTTCTTCTTCTTCTTCCATGCTGATGCCAAGCTGCTCATTATAGGTTAACCTGCGTGTAGTGATTCTGCCTGCTGTACAAACCTCTGCTCTCTCCTCGGATACATCTTATCTGAAAATGAGCTGTGGCTGAGCGTCCTCTTCATGGCTGCCGAGCTGAGAGAGAGAAAAAAAAAAAGGCAGATGCAGAGAGCAAACAGCAGCAGCTGCGCACTGATGGGGAGAGTCTGGAGAAAGGCAAGGTGAGGTGGAGACGGAAACCATGAACTGAAGGTAGCAATGAGAACAGTGCCTTCTTTGAATGCGGGTAGGGGGCTGCAGAGTTTCTGCATTAATCGGCGGTCTCGATCTCCAGCTGTCACCACAGGTTTTATGGTCTTTTGTATGCACCCCCACTTTTTCATCCACCATCTGTGTTTCCAGGGCAACTGAGGATTGCCTGCAGGCACCAGCAGCTACAGCACACCAGCTCAAATCAGGACAATGATGTGCTGTAATCTCACAGTAGGCTAACTCGTAACTGATGCCGTTATTTTTCTCTCCTAATCAGAGTGGATTTCTTTACGCATAAATCATAATTAGTTCTCTGAAAAACTATTTTAAACGTTAGACAAAATAATTAGGATAGTGAAAGATGATCTGTTGGTCAGAATAATCTGCTTTTGGCACATTATTTATACACTAAACAACAATTATCCCATTAGAACTTCTATTACATCTACACTGTAAAATAGTTTTTATTTAAATTAAATGCCAAATTTTTATTGAGAGAATGTATCATCGGGACATAGTTAAAACCATATTTTTATCACACAGTATTGTGAGATATTGCATGATTTAATGTTTGAGGATATTTCTCTAATGTTAGATGTGATAGCCATCTTAAACTGGAATAGCTCAATCAATATATGAAGTGGAACAATGCTTTGGCCTGAATTCCTCCTTATTGTAACTCCACAAGCACCTCTTTCACCCCTTTTCTGAGGTGTGTCTCAGATCAACTCGTTTTGAGGCTGTCGCTTTCCATGCATTTGATGTTTCTTCGAGCAGAAACATTTTATTTACAATTCAATTAAATATGTCAACAAGGAAAGGCTTGTCCACCCAGCCTTACATGTTGGAGCCAGAGTCTGGACCCAGAGCGAGAGGAGAATGAAGATTAAATTCCATAAATATGACCCAGACAAATTATAAAGACATCTATGCATGACCAGGAGAGACTAAATTCAACTTTTCTGCACTCCCAGAGACTTCAAGTACACAACAAGATGTATTCAACAGCTGAAAATTTTGCATAACCCCATTATGTGTTGTAGATTTATAATCAGTGATTACTTTCTAAACATTTCATTTAAATCTATCATGTGATTCATAAGATATTTTGCTAACAGGCCAGCAGAGTTGACTGTATTATTTAAAGGCACAGTGTGTAGGATTTTGTCAAGTCTTTTAGCCGAAAGTGAGATAATCACTAATGACAATAATGAAAACATGTCTAATCATTGCAAAGACCTTGTTTTATTATTTTTACCTTATAAAAAGCTGTTTATATCTCCA